TTTTGCATAGTAAACTGCTGAAGACTGAAGGAGGTTTGCGAAAAGCGAGAGGAAGACATAAATCTATCATGAGAAATTTTCTTAGCCTATTAATCCTTCTGACGTATTTTCACACTAATTACCATATAAGTAGACAATAATATGAGGTAAAACTTTATGGAGAAATGTTTGGACTTTTTAGTTTCTTAAAAATTTTACTTGTTCTTCAATTTTCGCCCTTAATAAGCTTACAATCATCAAAGTTTTACCTTACAACATTGATGCGTCTTCTTCCTGTCGCCTTCTTGTTTTTCACACTGCTAAAAAAATTGAAATTGAATAAACCAAACACTTTCGATGGTCTCTATAAACATAAAGAAAATTTACCTTGTCTCATAATTTTCGGATTATTATTAAAGCTTTGAAGATAAAAAAATCCTTTCTCACCTAAAATTATGAGCAACGCTCTTTTATATAGCAAAGTGATCACGTAAAAGTTTTAAATTTGAATATATGAAAAATGTAAAGACATAAAAGGATGAAAATCATCGTTTTTGATAACGATTCGTAAAAAATAAAGAAAGTCGTTTAGTCTTGAGATTGCCTTAATTATTTCTTTTATTTTTAATATTTCATTTCAATAAAAATTCTGCAATTGGAATTTATTTCTTCGAAATGAAATTATTCAATTAGATTCATCGTGCAAATGAATATTTATGTAGCAACATTACTCGTTATTCACACTTTTCATCTTTAAATAGTCACGTAAAATATTCCGGCATTAAATTTGATGAAAAAATGATATCATGTTTAGGTTCATAAGCTTCAAAGTAATACAGAAATATGTTTAAGAGCGTTTACACTAAACCAGCAATACCTTAATCGTGACTGGAAAGTTGAAGGAAAAAATTCTGTTTTAAGATTGAATCATAAAAATGCATTAAATTGTTAAAGATATGAAAGGAATTTTTCTCTATGTTCGTGGACTGAATGTTGTTGATTTGATTAGAGAAGTGCGATTCATTGTTGTTGACAATAAATGCAGAATGTAATTTTTAAAAGTCAAGAAGTCGAAACATTTGAACAAAGTTGATTCATTGCCATTTTATGTGATGCTACAAAAATAAATTTCAACCTTAACTTTAATAGAATTTAAATAGGACGAATGTTCATTCATTTTATTCATGTCTCTCAATTGAGATGAAAGGAAAATATATTTTTTGGCAGTCACTTAAATTAATTAACTTGTTTTATGATAAATGTGAGCGAGCTTGAATCTCTGTGATCATTTTTACGGATTTTTTTTTCATCTCAAAAAGAAAAAATAGAGAAAATTAATGAATAAAATCATAATAATTAATTAATTAATTAATTTACAAACTTTCGAATTGAAATTGTGGACATGAAAATGGAAAACGCTTCAGTTAATGGAAGAAATAACATGAAAAATGATCATGAAGGTTTTGATTAATTTTCAAGTAGAATTTCCACTGAACATTTCCCGGTTCATAATTTCACAGTAAAATAAATAGTTTCATTATATTTGAGTTAATAAAGTCAAAATCGCTGCCTTTCTACTCTCAACTTGTAATCATAATTATTTTCCACAACACAATCAAAAACATCGTGGAATATTTCAGTAATCAAATGAAAAACGAAACTTTCTACAAAACAAACATCAAGACGTAAGCGAAAACGAAAATCCTTTTCTTCGCTTTGCTGCTCTCAATTAATATTCATTTCCGAAACCATTAACAGACCTTATTATAATTACAATCAATAAATGATTGTACATGTTAGTTTCTTTAGGTGTTCTCACGATTTCACTTTCAAGTCGCGAGAATGGTTAAAAGAACTGTAATTTAGTTGTATGTGTCAGGAAAAACGGCATTAGGGATTTATCATAATCGTTGATTTCACGCAAAACCAACATTAGGAAATGCTGCTCACTCACAGGTCACTTCTGATGGTTGCTGCCGTTTCTTGTTGTATTTCTTTTTTACTTTACTTGTTTATGAATAATTGAAAGAGCTTAACTTGAAAGCTTTTGGTGCGTAAGTCCGGCTGTTAACAATCATTAGCTTTGTTTACTTGGTCTGGTCTGGTGAGGGAAACTACTTTAAATGTTTACATAATATTAATCTGATATCAGTTTCTTTTCTTTTCTTTATGTTGTTAAATGGTAATCAAAGTTTGTTCGAAAATAAAAATTATGGATTTGGAATTGAGTCTCAGATATTCTTCAATAAATTAATTTAGTGCTTGAGTATCAAAAATAATTGTTTGTTTATGCCTGAACTTCACATGGAAATCAAAGAATTAACAAAAATGTATTTAAAAAATAACGAGAAACATTAAATTATGAATAATATAAACCAACGACCTGAACGTAATGATTTTCTTGATGTTATTTCTAGCGAAATGTGTAACAAAGTATTTTTTTTATTTCACCTTCAACGCTAAATACAATCGCTACACACTAAGCAAACATTTCCGAAATGAAATCGCACAAGACGATTTATGCTTCCTACTTTTCGCTTCGAGAATTTTATTGAAAGGGTTCGGAAGTATGTCAAGAAAATTGTTCTTCCCAAAGAAAGAAAATTTCCTTAATGTTTTTGAGAATGCGATGGAGTTGATTAAGATTCGTATTGTCTTAAATTAAGGATTTAAATTCGTTTCGAAAGCCTTAAAAAAATGAAACCTTAAGTTTGTGGTTTTGTTTCTTAAGTGAAGAAATATTGAGATTCTCAAAACAACAACTTTCTCGTCTTTTTTTGCATAACAAATCAACCTTAATAATAGGATTGTTCTTTCTACCTCATATTTATTTAATTCTTTAATCGCATTAGAAATTCTTCAATTCATTTTTCACCCACCCACACACATAAGAATGAAAATGAGTTTAGATTATTTTTTGGTTGATTCTATGAATGAGTAAAATTCAATGTGAATTTGATATTGAAACTGAAACTTTTCCCGGTGACATATTAACAAGTGGCTGCCAGAATAACGTGAGAAGAAATTCAAAGCTACAAACCGTGAACAAAGATTTGATTTTATTGCAGCTTTTTTTGCCATTCAGTGCTTCAATTTCAATATATTGATTGAATTTAAATTGGTTATTGTGCCGGTACAATGACACACAAAATGCACATCGTTACAATCAAAACTCTTTCTCTTCCACCCCCGCAAATGTATGAAAATATTACTGAATTTATGTGTACATGTGGAATGTATCAAAAATTTAACTTAATTATGGATGGTTTGCAAATGTTTTATAAATTTGATGTCTTAAAATTGTTTATAATAAGATTTATTGATTTTACACTTGGAGTGAATATTTACTCATCAAATGTTTCATTTCAATAAATTTTCCATTATTTTCGATTACATTTTAATTTGAAATGAAAATCTTTTCCATACATCAACGAGAAACCTGCAACCACATTGAACTTGCATTAATAATTTGTAGTTATTGAATCAATCTCTATGTAAATATTTGTCGCAANGTTGTTTCTGAAGACTTCAACCCCGAGCGGCACAACTGCTCCGCATGCGAAGCTATAGGTTTCCTTTAGCAGATTTCGTGTGGCATTTCCATATAGCCTTTCCACGAAAATTCCGCTAAAGTCTCCTTGTAGGAAAATTCACACGTGAATTTTCCTACAAGGTTCCTATACGCACCTATTATCGTCACCGCACGAACTGCAACAGGAAAAAATAATTCCGCATAGCAGTTTTTTGTGGCAGTGAATATATATGAAAGTTCTCTGAAGCTTCGAAATTAATTTTATTTCGTTTATAAGCTATAATTAAGTTTTAAAATTAAATTTAAACTAAAAAAAAATATAAAATAAATATAGCAACCTATTTATAAGCGTTTTTTCGTTTTTTAATTTTCATCAGTTCTACCCAGTCTCGAACCGGCATCGTCTGTTTCATTTTCCAACTCCTGTGCCTCTAAGCCAAATCGTCTTATGTACAGTTTTGGCAAATCTTTAATTTGAATGCTTATTTAATTTTATTATAAAATTCTTAATGCTTTTCAATAACATTACATTAAATTAATTAAAGTACATTAAATGATATTTCTTAGCTATCTGAATACTATTTCCGTTTTTAATTTCCCTTGAAAAAATTTCAAACGTGAAACATCCTTGAAAGTCTAACTAAGTGCTGACTTTAAAAACCGGCATATGACGAACTTATAACGTAATTTGAAATTGATTTGAATTTCTTCCTCTAGGAAGTCATGAGCTAAACTTCACGGAATTTCTTCACAATTGCCCTGAAAGTTTAGCACATGGCAATCTTAGGAAGAGAACATAAGGAAATTTTAAAAATTGATTTCATTTTCATCACGTTGCAACCTTTGATCAAGATTGAGCAAAATTTAACGGAATTGCTTCCCATTTGACTTAAAAAGCAAGCCGGTGATGAAAATGAAATAGGAATCTCCGCTTGTGCCGCTCGGGACATCAACGAGAAACCTGCAACCACATTGAACTTGCATTAATAATTTGTAGTTATTGAATCAATCTCTATGTAAATATTTGTCGCAATATAAACGAGGCCGAAAAATACATCATGACACCTGTCAATGAATTGTGATTGTGTACAGAGACAATACCGATTGTGATTGGTATGAGTTGAGCGATAATTGAATAACGAGATGAAAATTGATACAACACGGAATTTGATTTTATTAAAAATTATTCAATTTTCATCTTCTCCATTGACGGTTTAATTGATTTTAATAAGGACTACAATTGATACTTATTATAGCCGTCAAATTGCTAACTAATTGACACAGAAAATGATTTAATAATTAAGTAGAAAAGGATGTGAAGCCACATTCTGTCATCTGTAATGGCTTCGGGTTAAATATTGAGGACAAGTTGTGAACCTTCCTTCATTTATGCACAATTTGTGGTTCTTATGAATAATCAAAATTAGCATTTTCCTAAAGTCTTTCAAGAAACTTTTTCAAACATTCTGAAGACTTCAAGTGATACAATTTAAACATCCTGAAAGCTTAAAATACAAACAAATTGCAAGAAAAAAGAGAAGAAAAGTTTTACATATATGCGGAAAACAAATCCTAAAAGTTCAGGTTGAATTTCCCAAATTAATTGATCACCCACGATGTAAGCATTATCATCAATCTTGAAAGTTTTTTGAGTTCTTTTCGGAAAAATAAATTGAAGAATTATGTAAACTCATTGGAAAGTATTTATAATGGAGAAGAAAGAAGTACAAATAAATAAGAATAGGAATCAGGGAATATTAATCGATGTTTGGACATAGAAAAATCATTCGAAAGTTGATATTGAGAAAAGCTTCTTAAGCGCGATTGAGAACAATTCATAATCTCTCGGAAACCATCAACAAGAAGAATCAAAATAAACATTTTATTGTAAATACACATTTGGAAATCAGCGAAATATTTCAATGAAACTTAAAGTTTTCTTATGATTTTTAACTTTGATTCTTCTATTGAAAATATTTAAATAAACTTTTTAGTTTGAAGAGCTGTAATATATTTGAAAACAGGCTGAACGACTAGACATTGTAAATTTCTTCCTTTGCCAAAACAAGAACATTCGCCTAACTGTCTTTATACATGCAAATATGCGATTTACGCGACTCATTGTGAGTTGTGCAATTTTTTTTAAAGCTGAATTAATATTTTGCCATATTTCTTCTTTTTCTCCACGTACATGGATTACAATATTCATAAATATTATGGTCAGAAGCCATAGGAGAATCGTTCAAAGTCCTGGAAGCTTCATTTTCAACACAGTTGGTGAACATCTTTTCCGGCGTAATTTCAGTGACGTTTCATGTTTCTTATCGAAAGATTTAAAATTCGACAAAAAATTATTTTTCATCTTCTTGAAAACTGCGAGTCTGTAGTGAGAAAAAGTTCCCATCACTGTAAGTGGCGCGATCATATAAATTTTGTTTAAATAAATATTTTAATTCACTTCAAGATTATTTTTAATTGCCTTTTTGCATGCTTTTCAAATTGCAAAACGTTTTAAAATATTTTTCAGATTCAATCTATGATAAATAGAAACATCCTCTTGTTCAAATTTGAGAAAAAGCTATTTAAAAAGGTGGATTTTTATACTTCATTCATTTTCCCCTACGAAGCAAATCAAACATAAAGAAGTTCCTTGAGGTTCCTTAAAACGCTGAAATGAAGTCAATTCTGTTGAAATTTTGCTTGATTCTGTTTCTAAAATTTGCAGTAAGTGAAAAAATGAAAATAATTAACAATCTTTTCTGAGTTCTTTTTATCATTCAGAAAGGAAAAATATATTGGTCGACAGTTTCATTTACCTCTAACCAAGAATACGTGTCGGATTTTAGTGTGAAAATATTTAACGACACAGATGGTGCAACAAAATTAAATGCGTCAGGAACTCAATTAAAGGATCTGGAAAAGTCTGCAGTAACATTAGCTGCTAAGCAAACTCGTGATGTATTCAAAATTAATGCTGATTCGTGTAAATTAAATGAAGACACATTTAAAAATTTTTTGGCACACGCCATTTATGCTGATATGAAAGAAAAGACCAACTTTAGATTTTCATGTCCACAGCGTAAAGGCTTTTTCAAACTAGAAGGTTTTGTACTGCCTAGTACGATACCTTATTTAGATAAAGCTTTTAGAAATATTGTCAATGGATATTTTGAATTTACTTTCACGATTCGAGGGAAACCATATGGTCAGAAGAAGTTATTAATGCTAATATTTGTGAAACTTTATGGTGTTGTTCGTTGATTGCATATTTTTATGTAAAACAATTTTATGAGTGACAAAATTTTATTTTTGTATGACATAGGAATTATTTCAAACTCGCAAAAATAAAATCTTGAATGTTGTCTATTCAGTTGTTTATTTTAATCCACAATTTAATTGCTAAATAGCTTTTTCACTTAAGAATTCCAAGAAAAATTCTATTAGACGAAAAACTCCACAAAGTGACGCCTAATCTTTGTTTCTATGATTTTTATACATTTTTGAGACATCAATTTAAACAAATCATGAGTAGAGTTTTCTGGATAGTCTTCCTCAGGAAGTTGTAGTTCATCAAAATTCACCACAAATTTATTTTTCTTCTTTTTGAAAACTGGTACGTAGTGGGAAAAAGTCCCCATCACTGTAAGTGGCGCGATCATACAAATAATGCTTTGTATAAATAAATATTCTAATTTGATTCTATATTATTTTTAATTGCCCTTTTTGCATGCTTTTCAAGTTGCAGAAAGTATTTAAATAATTTTCAGATTCAATTTAAGATTAATATAACGGAAACATCCAATTGTTCAAATTTTGAAAAACTATTAAAAAAGGTGGACTTTTATACTTCATTCATTTTCCACTGTGCAGCAAGTCAAACACAAAGAAGTTCTTCAAAGTTCTTCAAATCGCTGAAATGAAGTCAATTCTGTTGCAATTTTGCTTGATTCTGTTTTTAAAATTTGCAGTAAGTGACAAATGAAAAAAATTAACAATCATTTTAAAAGGTTTTTTCCAACTCAGAAAGCAACATTTTTGGATATTTCGAATTCACTTTCATGGTTCGAGGGAAACCATTCGGCCAGAAGAAGTTGCTATGGGTTATATCGATCAAAATTTATGGTTCTGTTGAAATTGTTGGTTGATTGCACATTTTACTGTATGTGACAACAATTTAATATTTTTTGTAATAAATATTCAAAAGAAGAATAAATTTTGATTTGATGAATTTAAACTTTACTCATGTACTAGCAAATAAATTCGTTTTCTTCACGTACCTACATGGATTACAATATTCATAAATATTATGGTCAGAAGCCATAAGAGAATCGTTCAAAGTCCGGAAAGCTTCACTTTCAACACAATCGGTGAACATTTTTTCCGGCGTAATTTCAGTGACGTTTCATGTTTGTTGCCATTGAATGTTATACATTTTTTGAGACATCAAATGAAACAAATCATGAGTAGATTTTTCCGGATAGAGTCATGTTCGGGAAATAGTACAGGTTTTTAAAAAAAATAAAATAAAATTCACCACAAATTTATTTTTCTTCTTTTTGAAACTGCGAGCCTGCAGTTAACAAAATTGCCCATCACTGTAAGTGGCGCGATCATATAAATAATGTTTTGTTTAAATAAATATTTTAATTCACTTCAATATTATTTTTAATTGCCCTTTTGCATGCTTTTCAAATTGCAGAACGTAATAAAATATTTTTCAGATTCAATCTAAGATAAATAGAAACATCCTCTTGTTCAAATTTGAGAAAAATCTATTTAAAAAGGTGGATTTTTATACTTCATTCATTTTCCATTGTGCAGCAAATCAAACAAAGAAGTTAGTGAAAGTACTTTCTTTAAATCGCTAAAATGAAGTCAATTATGTTCAAATTTTGCTTCATTTTCTTTCTAAAATTTGCAGTAAGTAACAAATGAAAAAAAGCATTAATAATTTTTAAGTGTTTCTTCTAAATCAGAAAGCAACATTTTACTGGTCGACAGTTTCATTTACCGCTAACCAAGAATACATATCGGATCTTAATGTGAATATCTTTAACGACACGGATGGTGAGACAAAATTAAATGCGACAATAAACCAAATAAAGGACCTCGAAAAGTCTGTACTAACATTAGCTGCTAAACAAACTAGAGAAATGTTCAAAATTAATGCTGATTCGTGTAAATTAACTAAAGAAACTTTTAAAAATTTTATTGTACACTCAGTTTATGCTGATATGAAAGAAAAGACCAACTTTAGATTTTCATGTCCACAGCGAAAAGGCTTTTTCAAAATAGAAGGTTTAGTATTGCCTAGTACGATACCTTATTTAGATAAATTTTTAAGAAATATTGCTAATGGATATTTCGAATTTACTTTCATGGTTCGGGGGAAACCATTCGGCCAGAAGAAGTTGGTATCAGTTATGTCTATCAAAATTTATGGTTCTATTGAAATTGTTGGTTGACTGCATATTTGACTGTGTGATTGAGTGACAAAAATTGATATTTTTGTAATAAATATTAAAAAATAAAAATAAATTTTGTTCTAGTGAATTTATATCTATACACATGCACTACCAAATAAAGCATCAATTAAGATCACCAACGATCGTCAACGAAACGTGCAGACATTTAAGTTGAAAATTTTGATATGCGATGCGAACAAGAAATATTTCCGTTTGTCTGTCATTTAAATTATTTATCTTAAAATTAGATCAGGAAATGTTTGCAATCAAATTTTTAATTAAACTATAAATTGATTTTGTTTTGACATTTGACAATGACAAGAGGAAATATTTACTTATGATATGTTATTTTAAACAAGAAAAAATGTTTAGGTTTTTCAGTTTAGTTTCGTTAACGTTGCAATTGGAAACTCGAAACCCGCAGGGTTTTTAAAGTATCGAAGTTGGAAAACCCTAATCATGCATAAACATTTATTTACAATGAAAGAAAGGCTTAAACAGAAGTCGACATAAGTAAGGAAAATTTTTATTTAATTATGATCGCTACACATTAATTTGACTTCTGAAGTGTAACAACAAGACGGTTACCGAATACTGTTGAGTTTTTATGCTAAAAATTATGCTATAATATGATTTATGATTTGCAATAATTTTATTACAAATGCTTTTCTTTTCTTAATATTCTCGCTTAGCTTTAGCTCAGTTCAAATGAACGAAGCAATAAAAGGTGAAACGAACAGGAAATGGAAAATGTTCTTTCTCTCACTTCGTCTTACATTCACGTTCACTTTGAATTTGCAGTCGAAGGGAAGCGCATTTCTCTTCAATGTATTCTTTCATAAGTTTGTGTTTATGTTTCATTCGATACATATTTTATAACACTTCATAGTCGCTCACGTAGACGTTTCTGTTTCAACTTCAGAAAGGGAAAATAAGAAAAATGCAATAAAATTTAAAAAGAAAGCGTGTAAATGTAACGAAACGACAAACTTCACACTGACTTTGGATGACAAATTTATTTGACAAATAAGGTTGTTTTAAATTCAATTATGTATGCACACAATCAGCCTTGAAGATCTTGAACATTTCCTTTTGATATCGACACACAATTGTGCGCGCAGGGAAACACGACATTCATTTTACATTTCACTCTTTTTTATTGTGCAATATTTTTTCCATCATTTCACACAGCTTTCTTTATCTTTTCTGCTTACTTTTGCTTGTTTCAAATGCTTCATAGAGAAGTGACGGAAGACGATGCTTGGGAAATGATGTGAAGATTGTGTGTCGTTACAGGAGATATCTTTGGCTAATAAAATTCCTTTTCTTCATTCCTGAAGGTCTCCTATAAAGGCAAATTCTCCTTGTCACACAACCTTAATTTCTACTAGCTTCAAATATAAAAAGGAAACACGAAGGAAATCGAATAAAACAAGAAATGAGCTTGTACGACAAAAAAAAATATCTAAGAAAATAAAAAATGTACGAAAACATGTTCCCTTGAGATTAAGCAATTTTGTTGTTAGACTTTCAACGATTGCGTTAGAACGATTAGATTTTTAACTGGAAGAAACAAGATGAAGGGAAATCGTCGTTTGAGACTTCTTTTCATCATATGAGTGATGATTTTGCATACTTTTAAGGAGTTGTATGCAATTTAGGCGAACAATTTGAGCGTGCATCATGAACACCTTCAACAATTCCACACGTTTTGTTATGCATCAAGCATGTACCACCTCAATCTATCAAAGATGTTTGAAATCGGAAATCAATGCAGTGCGAAATTCTCTACAAATACACACAACCACAGTTATTGAAGGTCAATTAATTATCTAGTGAAATAAGCCGCAAGTTATTAATTACTCATGTCGATAGAGATAAATATTCATGCAAAACACATATTTGTGGTTTATGAAGAGAAAGAGTGACTTTATTCAGATATTTTATAACAAAATATACAAAATTCAACCGACGAGACTTAATATTTAGAATGTAATTCAATTCCAAAATTATTGGTGAGTGGCGACAAAACACATTCAGTCGTAACCCGAAACAATAAAAACTTTATACAAGACGACAATCCAAGAAGAAAAGGCAACACTTTAGCCTTCTTCTGTATATATTTTCAATGTTTGACAATTGAAAACAATTTTCCAAAAGTTTCAGCAGAAGCTGTAAAATTCAGGGACATCAACAAAAATGGTTTCAGTAAATTATTGATTTTTCCATTTGAATATTTTCAATAAGTCGTGAACTTCTCTGTTGCACTTTTGTCTGTAATCGAACAGTATTCGACCATCATGACATATTGAAAATAAAATCGAATTTTTTTAAATTATTTACAGACATTTAGAATAAATGGAGGAGAGAAAATCGATGGGCTTTTTATTTTCGCTTTTTCATTTGTTTGTTACCAACATGTGATGTTTCACATCATCGTTTTTCAGTTGTTATAAAATTTACATTACGAGATTATGTTCATTTATTTATGTGATTATTAAAAAGTAGAAATTTCGTTATTCTCAAGAGACAATGACAATGACAACAAAAAAAAGAAAGAAAACTTAATAAATCATTGAAGAAGTCTGATTTCTCCCAATTCGATTGCAAAAGTCTCGTCTGATACGATTTACAATCCTCCCTCAAATCATTCTCCCCTTTTTCAGCTAACAACCATGGCACGAAAAACCAATCAAACAAAAACAAGATTCTATTCTGCAATAGATGAATAGAATCAACTGGAAGCATTGGATTAATGTTTCTTTTGATATATCAACACCACAGTTTGATATAAACAACAAAATTAGTGATTCGATTCCATCAATCGATGGTCTTCGCTTCTGTAATATTTTGATTTACAATCATTGTTGACCATGATAGCTTTTATGTGATATGCTTCAGCAATTGCTACTATTGATGCCGGAAATTAAGCAGCATTGAGTGAAGAAGAAAATCAAGCATCCCTCAACCACAATTCATTTGTTTTCTGAGAATTTTAGCAACGCTTGCAAATTTTATATTTCCATTTAGTTTTAAAATAAAGCATTGCGTTTTTATGCGTGGGAGTAAGAAGTGGAAATTATAAATTATTTAATTACCAACCAGTTTTAATTCGTACACTTTCAAAGGGGTTAACTAATGGTTAATTTGATATTTTAATTATAGAACGAAAGCTTTGGAAATTTAATTTACATTGATCAGATTAAAGAGAAGGAAATTGTTCAACAATAAATGTTGATGGCAATTTATGATAAAACATTATTCAGTTATTAAGTTCTTCGATTTCTTCTCAGAATAGATTTCGTTGAAAGTTAATGTTTCATTTAATAAAATATGCATTCATTCATATTTATTTCACGACATTCAACGTAACTCTTTACTGCGTTTGAACTTAAAGTCGTGTTTTTGTTCCAAAAATATTATTCAATCGTGGGAATATTTTCACATGTTTCAAATTTTTGATTCTTTCATGAAAGGGAGGAAATTACTTCGGAGCAACTTAGAAATGTCGAACGACTTCGTTAACATTCTAAATTTATTTCATTTCTTCAACTCATCTCTCAACATCCCGAAGTTCAAAAACTTTCACACTTTACTTAAAAAAATTTAAATTGACTTAAACTCCACCTCACCAATTTGAAATGAAATTGCATAATTAATTAGATTTTCTTTACAAAGTTTCTCTTTTATAATCGGATAATGACGTAATGTGTCAAGGACTGCCCGTTGAAGCTTTTAAAGAATTTACATTTAAATTTTTCTTATGATGGAAACTTTATTTCTTCTCAAATCTTTTAATTTCTTATGATAACTGTTATTCCATTAGCAAAGCAAAAATGATAATAAAAAAAAATTAGATTAGGTGATTAACTTTGATTGTGAATGAAAATGTTAATTGGGGGAAATTTTCTCTTCAATTTTCATCTTCTTCGATCTTTGGAGCGAGATAATAGCGAATGTGTCCGAGGTCAGGAATTTGATATTCGACAACGAGTGGAACGTCTGCAGACATACTCAAAGAAACTTGAGGAGACAAAGGTGTAGCTTTAGTGAATGAGTTCAAATATTGGCATGCAAAGGTCAATGTGACAGGTTCTTGCATTTCAATCGAGACAGCTTCTTCTTCTTTGTCAACCGACGATGTTTGTGCGAGTTTAATGTTAGCAGACCCTGAATCGCCCGATGCTGAGAAACGAACACCTTCCTTAGTACATGTAATTACAACTGATTCCCCAAATTGAGTTAAATCACGACAAATACGAGCAAACTCATGTGATGGCATTCGCACGATGCACGCGTAGTCAGTCTCGGGAATCCCTAAATGTTCTTGATCCAAATTCATCAGCTTCATTTCATAGTCTGAAACTTTCTCTTGATTTTGTGACTCAAACATGAATGTTACAGTGTCGGCATTGTCTTGAGCTTTGATCGTTACCGTGTCGGTGTTATTGGCACATTTTAATATTTTTGCCATGTTTGCTAAATTCATTCCCATAGAGAGATTACGATCGCAACGATACTTATCAAAGCCATCTGATCGCATATTGAGGGAGACAAGAGAAACGTGGGAATTATCCATAGCTTGTAACTGTTAATAAAGAGAAGAAAGGCGCGAAATTAGTTTTACAACAACATCCAGACTTGAGGATTTCTCACCTGAATACCAGAATCTGAGCAGTCAAATGTAGCCTCATTTAGCAGATCCTTGATTGCATCGAGGACTTTCTTAAGAATTCCACTGGAGATAAGACGTGCTTCGAACATTTTTATAGTTTTTCTTTAAAAATTCTGAAAAATTTTCACAATTGCATGAAATATTCTTATGAGGTAAATTTCTTTCTATTTTCAGATATTTTAACACTTTTTAAAGCATATTTTATTACTTACAGGTTAGATAAGTCAGAAATTAGTAATCCTTGTTGAAGTTTCTTAAAATTTCACGCTATTTAAAGCCACACAAAATTATTTCGCGGTGAATATTTCAGGGCATACAAAACCAATACTGAAGCAATTTGCGCCAAAACAAAGGAACATCGATAAGTTGTGTCAAGCATGTTTTCTAGCAGTTTTGAAATTTCCGTTATATTTTATAGATGATTATGCTTAATTGCGATCAATTTTTAAAACTGATGTTGTAATAATATATTTAAATCAGCTAAACATGATTGATGTTATATAATGTGAAATTGAATCACTTAAGCACATTTTCAATGTTCTTTTCTCAACTATAGAATGGGAAGGGGGAACATATGAGATTTTATATGACATACTTGTACACCCGTTAAAAAATTTGGCGCGAATTATTGTGTGATTTTGTGGAAGAAAGAAACGAAATTTATTCCCTCAAAAATTAAAGATTATTGTTGAAGAAACTGCTGTTACATAAAATAGAAACAATCGATACATCAATTTGAACTTGCAAAAAATATTGATTGTAAGTTTTACTCGCTATCTTAGCGTAGATAATACTGTTACTAATAAATAAAAACTTTCAGAAAATAAAAATTTAGATAATGGATGTTGCTGATGCTCATGCTGGTCGTTTGTTGGTAAAAGATGAAGTTGCACTACGTTGCCAAAAACTTTTTGCTGACTTTCTCGATGAGTAAGTTCAAATTCACTGTACCTAAACAAAAAATATTGATAACTTTCATTTATTTCAGATTCAAGGAAGATGGAGACCAAAAGTATTTAAAAGCTGCTTCATATCTTACAAATCCTGATCGCTCTACTCTTGAAGTTAACTTTGATGATATTGAGAAGTACAATCAATATTTATCAACAGCGATTATTGAAGAATATTATAGGTGAGTGCTAAATTTATTTAATTTACTATATTGAAATTTATTGAGATATCTAACTTCCAGAATTTACCCGTATTTGTGTCAAGCAGTCTCAAACTTTGCTAAAACTCGTAGTGGAACTAAAAAGCATAAAGAGTGTTACGTCTCATTCACAGAAGTCCCAACACGTCATAAAGTTCGTGAATTAACAACCGCAAAAATCGGAACCTTAATTCGAATCTCCGGTCAAGTCGTTCGCACACATCCAGTCCATCCCGAACTTGTCTCTGGTACATTCATTTGTATGGATTGCCAAACTGAGATTCGTGACGTTGAACAGCAATTCAAGTTCACAAACCCAACGATTTGTCGCAATCCCGTTTGTTCAAATCGTCGCCAATTCATGCTGGAAGTTGACAAAAGTTTGTTTGTTGACTTCCAGAAAGTTCGCATTCAAGAGACTCAAGCTGAACTACCAAGAGGCGCAATTCCACGATCTGTTGAGGTCATCTTGAGAGCAGAAAATGTTGAAACAGTTCAGGCTGGAGATCGTTACGATTTTACAGGAACTTTGATTGTTGTACCTGACGTTGGTTCAATCCAATTGCCAGGCGCTAAAGCGGATCTTCGTTCACATCACAAGCAAGGCGATAATGTTGGCCAAGGTGTTCGCGGTCTTAAATCGCTTGGTGTTCGTGACTTAAATTACCGAATGGCGTTTCTTGCTTGCAGTGTTCAAGCGACAACATCGCGCTTTGGTGGCACTGACTTGCCAATGAATGAAATCACAGCTGACGACATGAAGAATCGAATGACTGAAGATGAATGGAATAAAGTTTATGAAATGTCTCGTGACACGAAACTTTATCAGAATCTCATCAACAGTCTTTTCCCTTCAATCTATGGCAATGATGAAGTGAAGCGCGGAATTTTATTGCAACTTTTCGGGGGCGTTGGAAAAACAACTCATGAGAAGACGACACTTCGTGGTGACATAAATTGCTGCATTGTTGGCGATCCCAGCACGGCGAAAAGTCAATTATTAAAACAAGTCGCTGATTTTTCACCTCGCGCTGTTTACACATCAGGAAAAGCTTCGTCAGCTGCTGGTCTTACTGCTGCTGTCGTTCGTGATGAAGAAAGTTTTGACTTTGTTATTGAAGCTGGTGCTTTGATGTTAGCTGACAATGGAATTTGTTGCATTGATGAGTTCGATAAGATGGATCCACGCGATCAAGTTGCAATTCATGAAGCTATGGAACAGCAGACAATTTCAATAGCCAAAGCTGGCGTTCGTGCAACACTCAACGCTAGAACTTCAATTCTTGCAGCTGCAAATCCAATCAATGGTCGTTACGATCGATCGAAATCACTTCAACAAAATATTATGCTATCAGCTCCAATCATGTCACGATTCGACTTATTCTTCATTCTGGTTGATGAATGTAATGAAGTTGTTGATTATGCGATTGCAAGAAGAATTGTTGATTTACATACAAATGCAGTGCAGACAGTTCAACAAGTTTATCAACGTGAAGATGTGTTGCGTTACGTTACATTTGCAAAGCAGTTTAAGCCGACAATTATAAAGGAATCGATGGATTTGCTGATTGAAAATTACGGACATTTAAGACAACGCGAGATTGGATCGAGTGGAAAAAGCACTTGGCGTATAACCGTTCGTCAGTTGGAAAGTATGATTCGATTAAGTGAAGCACAAGCTAAAATGGAATGTTCGAATGAAGTTTTACCACGTCATGTCAATGAAGCTTATCGTTTACTGAACAAGTCGATTATTCGCGTGGAACAGCCCGACATTCATCTGGGAGATGAAGAAGATGAACAAGAAGAAATGGAAGTTGATGGCGTTGAGAATAGTAATGGGCAGCATGAAGATGTTCCAATGACTAAGAAAACAGTTTCATTGACGTTTGAGGAATACAAAAATCTCTCCAATATGTTGGTGCTGCATTTACGTGATGAAGAATCGAAATGCTTGGCACAAGGAACTGACACGGAAGGCATCAAAAAATCTGAACTTGTTCAATGGTATCTCGAACAAATTCAGGATTTACTTGAGAGCGAAGAAGATCTCATCGAACGGAAGATTCTTGTTGAACGCGTTATCGAACGATTAGTGAATAACGATCAAGTTTTAATTCCATTGCGTACAACAGATTTTAACAAAGATACTGCAATGACTGATGATGATCAAGTTGAAGATGATCCGTTCCTTGCTGTTCATCCTAACTACGTTGATAAATAAAAAATAATTCTTACACTTTGTTTTAATTAAACTTTCAATCTTTCCTGTTTTTTATTATAATTTCCTAGTTATTAAAATTCAATAAAGATAAGAAAAAAACAACAAAAATCTTCTTATCTAGAGTTTAGGAGATTAATTGAATTAATTTAATGATCAATCGAGTGAGCTGAAAATGATAAAAGCATAACAAAGTATGCAACTTTGATGTTGTATGCACCATGTTGCTTTGTGTTCGATGCAACTGTTGCATAATTCATGTTGTTCAATGTTACGTTAAAAAGCTTTCTGCGACCTTCTTAAAATTAATTTTTTTTAAATATTTTCAATAATTCAATGCAATTTTTTTATCTTATATAATCAAGAAACGCTTCGATAAAAAGTAATATAACATCAAAACGTGATGTCTTTAAACTTATTAATTATTCAATTGAAAAGCTGTCATAGTGAGCTTTTTAATAAGTCAGCATATGTCAGAAACTTTATTCAACTTGAATTACGTTAACGTATGTATGTAATGACTAGTCTATTGATACCTTATTTTAGCTTATTGTTATCTCAATTTTTTGTCTTATCATTATTAGATAATATTTATCGAAAAGTCACTGATAAAAACCTCTACGATTTAAAGTGTGAGTGAATTCGTTTATTTTTCATCACTTATGATTCAGATCAGTTCCAGACCTTTAACTGTGAACATAGAATTTTATTTATTTACATCAACTTATTTATTTGAAGTGTCGTTCTCATTTCACCATGTTATTTAATTTCAAATCGTTCATCAGGAAAAGATTCCTCACAATATTAATTATTTACACAATTTTCATCATATTGATGCTAGCATTGATAACTAATTTAGGATTAAAGAGTCATAAAGATAAAAGTGAACCGAATATAGGTGAGAATAAACCAAAATAAACAGGATTAAAATCCCGGAAATTCAATGAAATTAATTGAAAATAACTTTGAAGATAGTTTTGCAACAATTGTGGAATACGATTTGCCACTTTCTTTTGAAAACAAACTTGTTGAAGTTCCTGAATCACAAATAAATTCAGAGCAGAATGTTGAAGAGTTACAACAACTTATAAACTCGCACAACATAAATCAAAAAATCTACAACTTTCAAAAATTCGGGCCAGTGACAAATGCAACACTTCTGATAACAATTCAAGTTCATAACCGAATTACAAACTTGAAGCATCTGATTTCAAGTTTTAAAGAAGCATGGGGAATTTCAAAAGCTATGCTAATCTTTTCTCATGATATTTATGATGCAAGCATAAATCAAATCATTCAGGAAATTGATTTTTGTATGGTGATGCAAATCTTTTATCCATATTCAATTCAAACACATCCAAATTTATTTCCTGGGAATGATCCACATGATTGTCCAAGAAATGCTTCACAAGAATATGCTAAATCGATAAATTGTACAAATTATGAAAGTCCTGACGTTTACAAACATTACAGAGAAGCAAAATTTACTCAAATGAAACATCACTGGTGGTGGAAGTTGAATCGAATATTTGATCAACTCAGAGCTACAAGAAAGCATGAAGGAATTTTACTTCTGATTGAGGAAGATTATTATTTAAGTAAAGATTTCATTCATATCTTGAGACTTTTACAAATGCAAATTGAACAATTATGTCCCACATGCAATTTCATATCACTCGGTAATTACAAAAGTAGTCCTAATATGTTCAATAAAAACGCTATCGATGTCAAAATGTGGACTCCAAATAATTACAATATGGGCATGGCATTCAACAGAACAACGTGGAATCAAATCAAAAAGTGTACGAAATATTTCTGTGATTATGACGATTACAATTATGATTTTAGTCTTGAGAATGTTAATAAAAACTGTTTGGAAGACAAATTGTTAACAGCAATCGTTGTTGGTAGTCGTGTGCATCATGTTGGAGATTGTGGCGTTCATCATCATAAAGAAAAATGTAATATCGATAATATTGTGAAAGATTTAAAGGAGAAATTAGAAAATTCCAAACGATGGTTGTATCCAAAAGCATTAAAAATACGCAAATTCTCCGACATCCAAGAGCACAAGAAACTTAGTCTTTTCGGTGGATGGGGTGATGCTAGAGATCGAAGCTTATGTCGGAACATGACGCTTGAATACTCTGAAGTGTTTGTTAAATGATTGAGAACAAGTAAACATATTGATGTCCTATGATTGATGAATTTTAATTACAATTCAAGTGTTTAATATTAATTTTCAACTAACAAATGATAAATGCCACAAATCCAAAGCTTTTATTTATAGAATGTGTGTGGTTAAGTTTAAAATCTAAAGTCTCCATTGATAAATGAATTCACACAAAAAGTGAAAACTTGAATAAAAGCTTTCACTAGTGACAAAATTTACGAAGGAAGCCTGACATAAATTGTGAATATTAATTTCTTTTCGAAAACAATAAATTAATCTCATCAACGATTATAATGAGACATGTTTTGTGGTGATACCACGTGGGACGATGTTCTTATTCTCTCGAAGTTATCAATGTTCCCGCTTGTTTTCCCTTTTACTCGTCCATTTTAAAAATCTAGTACTACATCGAAAAGCTTTTTACATGAAAGCTTTTTGTGAAGTTTTCTTCGTTATAAATATAACGTGCATGATGAGTAGCAGTCTCAGAAGTTTTTATCACTTGGTTCTGAAAAGGTAATGTTTGTGAGTGTACTGAAAATCTTTTGATAATAAATAGTGGATTAAAATTACTTCAACAGTTCTAATTTTTTTTTTCACCTGAGCTGAGAAAATCCCATAAAATTATTTCAAGTGTAAAAAGTTTTTCATATTTTGAACATTAAAGGATATAAAACTGCCACATTTCAAAGTGATTTTTGAGGAAATAATTCTTTCGATAATTTTCCTCTTGAGAAGATTTATTAGAAAAAAATCGAGATTTTCATTTCCTTTCCTTTTCCGTTTTCTTTTTTGGATGCGGTCAACTTTACATCATTACTGCCGATTTGAGAAGTGTGTAACCCTTTTTGAAAAGTTTCATGATTCTATGAGATCATTTTAACACAAGTAACAACAGGTAGAACAAGCAGCAAGGAAAGAAAATTTCTCAACAGGAAAAGGAAAATCATTTTGAACTTTCTAATTGACGGGTGAGTTGAAATTTTCCAAAAAGAAAATTCGATATCTGAAAATATTTAAATATTCAAGAAAATAAATTATGAAATCAGGCAATCTCATGATAATAATTCTTTTGTAATTCAATTAAAATCTTGGTAGATTTTAGTCAAAAGAAAACTGTGAAAGTGAACTTAAAAAAAGTTAAAGAATTAATTTGGTCGACTGAAAGCTTTTATAAAGTAGCGAAAAGAATTTTCTGTTTTTGAACATTAATTTATATTGTAAAGAAGTTTTCAAAGCTGATATTTTATGTTAATCAAAGTTTCTCTATCAGAAAAACGTGTTGAAATTTATAAATTACTCAATTTTCTATATCAAAATGATAATAAAACATTGAAATTCAATTCTTATCCAGTAATTAAAATCACGCAACACATGATATTAAATATATGTTTTATTTGTTTAAATGAAACATCAATTAATATTTAACATTCGTCAATCGTTTATGCTCGTAGTCAACGCGAATAGAAAGCGAACGAGGCCATTAAAAATTTACGTGAAAGGAAATTAAATTCTGATCCTTTATCATCCTCGCAAATTTCTAAAGTAAATAATTTGAAAGATAAACAATATTGGAAATCGGAGCTACCTACACGATGACCGCACTTTATTAACCTGTTTCATTTGTAGCTCATTAAATTGATTATTTGTATCATTTTATTGAACATGAGGACAAGCAATAATTGTTTGTTGTTACGTCGCCATTAAAAATATATTATAATTATCTTTGTGATCGACACATAATGCACCTGAGGGGAAGAAGCGTTGAATTTTCCAATTATGACGATAATATTTCCTTTCCATTTTATGTTAAATAGCATCTGCTTGATTTCATCCAAATCATTTTCCCATTTCAATCAATGAACGATGTATTCAAGTTTAAATAATCGGCCCAGTATCAATTGTCAATATGTTTACTAATTAACTAAATATAATCTTCCTAGGTGTCATGAATTTAACGATTAATTTCAATAATAAGTGAGAGGCGTGGTAGAAATTTTCAGTGTTGATTGACGGTCGTTGGTGGACGTATTAAAATTTAATTTCAGTAAATCTTATGCGGTGTTTGAGAGCACGTTGTTGTCAATGATATAAACATCAAAACGCGCTATCAAAACGCTACCACTTTACGCGATCTTTTGATAGCTTAATAAATGAACTGGCTTATTGTTGAGTAATTACAACTTGGACATTATTCCCTGTGGTCGAGAATTCGTCATACTTAATCCACATTTCCAAATAGTCGACAAGCGTCACATTCGTAAATAATAAAACACATAATTTCGTTGTATGCGACAACTAATTATTTCACTTGGCGCACTTTTAGTGTCTTTATATGCTATAAAGAAAATGTTCAAGAAAATGAGATGAGTCATGGGTTAATAAGAAGAATTAATTTGTAGTGAATTAATTTACTTTTGTCATTTATGGAATGAGGAAAATGCACGTTCTGTGTTTATCTGCAAGTTCAATTTTGTCCTTTTAATGCGAAACCCAAAAAATCTTGTTTCATCTTTGGGTAGAGTTTTGTATTTAATCCCATAAAATACCATTCATTATCACTTTACTACCATCGTGGCAAACTCCCAAATTATCTGTTCATTCATGAAGCCAGCATGATGGATCATCTGATTATTTGAAAGCAGTGGCGAGAGTTGAATTAATGGATATATGTTGAAACATAAAAAAATAAAACATTAAAGTAAAGAATTTAGATTACGTAAACAATGAGGCTTGTCATGCTGGGACAGAAATTTTATTGGAATGTTTGTGACAAATATACAATGGAAGTTCCACCTACACTCAGCTTTTTTGCGTTCAACTTATTACTTCATTCGACATCATATAATTGTAAAATGAATTACATAATTATGTAATATTTGTAAAACTGATTTTCCGGTGAAATATTTTCTTAAGAATGGAAATCATTGTCAGTGATAAATGTAAAGAAGCTAATGGCCTCAAGCGATGTTGTCTAGAATAAAATATGAAAATTAAAGGCAAAAAATGTACGCAACAGAAAAGATGATAAAAAATATGGCAAAGAGATTCTTTTTGTAAATGTTTTAAATGCCATTTGTTCTCTGGTATGAAACAATGCTGATGAGAATCAACTGAAGTTTTTATTTTTTTTTGTTTTCGTGATGATAAAAGAGTCAGACGGCATACTTTTCTGTGACAGAAAATCAATGAGTTTGTTATTCTCTTGTTCAGCAGGATATAAAATTTGTTAATAAGCAAATAGCTCTACTTGTCATTGTTTACATACGAGAAGTTGTCTCTGCAAAAATTTGTACATTTTTTCCCTGACATTATTCGTACAAATAGAAATTACAAAATATCCGCAACTTGTTGCTTCTGTTACCGAGAATTAAAAAAAAATTGAAACTTTTTCTTGTCCCCTTCCGGCATTTTAATTCTTCCCTTTTCGTGCTAAGTTTTACAAGCTTTTTAAAAAACATTTTTTAATTCTTCCTGAGGACTAAAAAGCAGATGGAAAAAGCAAAATTTTTGTTTTTTCGCGTAAGCGTAAAAGCATAAAATTTAAATAAATTTATTTTTAAACTTTTCTCAAATTCTTCATTGAATTTATCACTTCACACAATCTCGTGCCACTCAATATGTTTATTAATATAAATAAAGTCGTAAAATAAGAATTGTATAAATTGAAAGCTCAATTTGGTATCGTAAAGCTCAAAAGAAGAATATTTGAAAGCTCAATGAGTTACAAAGAAGCAACAAGTGACTAAGAGGAACTCATAAAATAGTTAAAGCGGGACATATAAGAATAAAAAAATCGATCTTCATAAAAGTGTATCGTAAGCAAATTCACTGTTATGTTAATGCCGCAATAAACACCATTCAAGCGAATAAATTTTTTGTGTTCGGGTCATACGAAGTAATTATTCTAAGTGACACAAACAAACAAAATTAAAATGGAAAAAGAAAAACTTATCGATTTTCCCTTCACTGTTTAAATTAATTTATTAAATTGGCTTCGCCTTGATGAATTGACGAATTATTACTTATCTGTCCTTCACCAGATGCGTTTCCAAACACTTCAATTTGTCAAAACAAAAATTCAAATTAACGAACGCGACACGATGAAAAATTTTCACTGAAGGTAAATTAATTTCTTAAGATGTTTAAAGAGCTTCATGTTGCTAAAAGTTACTTCAAAATTCTCCTTAAAAAGGAATTCAAAATCAATTTTCTCAAACAGATTCCTTCGATGACGTTTATCGTCATGACGATTCGCGTATAATTGAAAAAAAAGTAATCAATGAAGCGACATGATAAAAAATCAAATCAAAGCTAATTAGAACGCTTGCAGAGCATGAGAAGAGATTAAGAAATAACAGAATTATCTTTCTTTTTTTGTCACTTTTCAAATCCATTGATTGAGTGAAAAGATATTTTTTGAATTTGAAGAAATGAGATTTTTTACTTTGATTTAAAAAGAAAGTTCTTTCATCCACCCACGCTGGTTGATTACATATGCTCAATAATATTTCTGTTTTCTTCTCAGAATTTCAAACAACTACCGCAGTCATGAATCAATTGAATCTCGTAGCTTTAAGTTTAATTTTGATGATTTCATCACATGATGCATTGGCTGCCCCAACAACTGGAGATAGTGAGTTCAAGAAATCACAAAAGCAATTCAGGATTGATTTTTAAAATCACGTAATTTCCGTTTCAGATTCAATTAAAGACTTATATGATTACTTGCTTCAAAGAGAATATGCCGAGCCGCTGTCCCTTGATCATCAAATGGAGCGCAAAGCAGTTCGTTCACCATCGTTAAGACTGCGATTTGGAAGGCGCAGCGATCCGGATGTTCCTTTAATTAAAAGGGTGAATGAGTTTTGAATTTATTTGAAAAAAGAAAAGAAAAAAAAAATGTGAAACTTAATTAAATATAACAGGAAAATGAAATCGATAATGAAGTCGACCAGAAACCAATCAGATCACCTTCCATGAGACTAAGATTTGGAAGACGTAACGACCCAGCCATGTCCTTGTTTAATGAGGTGAAATTCCTTTGTTGTCTCTAAAGTCACATTCATTTCATTTGCTTCTTTTTATTTGTTTTAATATGTTAGGAAGCAATGCTTTACGGTAATGAACCTCTCACAAGAAAGGCTCAAAGAACGCCGTCTGTTCGTCTTCGCTTTGGCAAACGCGACTCATCATTGTATGATAATGAGGTAAGAAAATTAAATATTCAAGCTGAGTAAATGTTTATGATAAATAAACTAAAATAATAATTCAAGGAAAACTTCAAATGACAAAGTTACTTTTATAGTTATTTTCATGTCCCTTCGCAGCAGTTTTCTTAAAAGTTCGAAGTTCGAATTGACTTTCTCAATAGAAACTTTTCATTTGTTGATATAAACTTTTCCCTCAACTGCATTTATCACGAAAGACAAATATTTTAAATCCATTTTGCTCACCTTTATTTGTTTAACTTATGAACGTTTTTCACTTGAGAGATTTATGCTTAAACTTTATAATTTTCTTAGGTGTTGAAGTGAATGTTGAGAGTTTCATAAACTGCAGGAAGTTTTTATTTAAATAGTTTAAGTGAAAGTTTCATAAAATCAGCAACAAATTATCATTATTCTATTTGCAGATGAACTCGTTCCACCGTGACGATTCCGCACAACTGAACCATGCTGAAGAAAAATAAATTGTCGTTGGCTTAAAACTTAAAATCCTTTTTCTGTACTGTTGACACTCACTCATGCTCGTATGTCAATTTAACAACTTTTTAAGTTTTTAATGCTATAATTTATATGATTGTTAATTTCTTAAGTTTGAAAGTTGGAAACATTTTATAAATTCTCAGCTAAGACCTTCCTTCCTTGACAAAGAAATATTGTAAATTATTATGATCTTTGAAGCTTTTTCCATTTAATATTATCAAAGTCTCAAACAATTTACATCATTTTTAAAATATTCCCCAAAAAGATACAATAACGAAAGGAGGAAGAATTTAGAAGTCATCGCAATTAAAAGGTCAATCGAAGTGTTTCTGAATGAATTTGATTGAAAGTTTTTTTCTCTCAGCTTCATCGTGAAATTGATTTGTTCGTCTTGTTTATATCTTTGAGCTTTGAAATGGAAAACGATCTCACAATCTTACAACTAAAGCTGAAAGCGCGTGGAAAACAATTGGTTTAACAAATATTTCAAACACATCAAATTAAAAGTAAAAGTCAAGAAATATTTGAGATATTTATAATCAATTTCCTTTTTTTCTTAAAAATCTTTCATAAGTGTTGCACGAAACAATTAATAGACATGTTTTATGTCCGCTATAGCTTTGCACTCTCTCTCAAAATTTCATAAATATGTAAATAATAATCAAAGTTTTAAATGGAAACATGTTATAATAAAAAGAGAAACATTTCAACCTTAATAAAAATATATAAAAAAAATTAATTATGAACAACGTTATACATTGACGGTTCTTACCTAGCAACATGCATCAATTAGTTAATAAAATATTGAGAAGGATAATTCAAGTCTTTTATTCAATTTCCTTTCAGATGACAATATGAATGAAAGAAGGAAAAGTTTCGATATCTTGAAAAGTCTTCTTAGAGCCCAAGATAATTTTATTCCCTTGAATCATTGCATTCAACCTGCGACTCTTAACCTTTCTTCTTTATAACAACCTCAAACCTTTCAAACTTTATTAATTTCTACAATTTCCAACGGTCTGGCTAAAATTTCTTTGGAAAATTTTCCTGTTGTTTCAGAAGTAAATTAAATGCGGGTTTGGTTGCGTTGAAGAAAAGCTCTCAGTGGATTATCTAGAAAATTTAGATGAAACAAAAAAAAGTTTTAATGACGCTCCAATGAATAAACATGAGGTAATCTTTGAACATGAAGGAAGAAGAAAATTTACATGGAAATAATTTCCTAACATGAAAAGGCCATTGAGGTTCTCTCTTTATCTTGCATATTACAACAACATTGTCTGTCAATTATAAGTATGAAAATAATTTCTCTCAAATTTTATCGTCTTTTTACATTTAACTTACTTAGATAGAAACACACAAAAATGTTCTACTTTTTGGGGGCGTCTTGTCGGACATAAACCTTGACGTAAACGACTTTATTTTTGCAAATAGATTTCATTTTTGTTTATACGACACTCAAATCACGTAATGCAATCACGCAACTTCATCACATTCTTCAATGCTTTTTTTACACACGAGAGTAAAGTTAAAGGGAATGTCCAAAACTTGTTCATTTCCAGCATACTTCCGTCGAAAGCTATTAAATGGTGTTAAGTGCAATCATAACTTCTACATCAATAAGTGCCCTCTAAAAGTTTATGTTGTTGTTGAATGTAAGTGTGGCAAAGTAAATATGAGAAGAGTAATTGATATCCAGAGACTTTACTTGCTTTTGTGACTTTTTAATTTTCTTTTTTAATCGACTGATGCAGTACAGGAAAGAATTCCAATTTCCATGAATCTATTACGACATGAACTTTAAGTATTCGGTTGAGAAATTCTAATTAATTCATTTTAAATTGCATATGATAAATCTGAAAGTTTCATGTTTGATTTCAAGATATTGATTTAAGATTGAATGACATCTGGATAAGAAAGTCATGCAATTTTTTAAAGATTTTTATTCTCAGAATTATACATTGAAGTCACCAAGTAAATCATTTACAAGAGTCAATTTAATTTTTTACATTAAGTAAATGATTGTGAAGAGAGTTTTACTCTTGATTAGTTGAACGACTATCTTGATGACTTTTACGAAAATAAATTGATCAAATTTAAGTCGTTAATGAGAGACATAAAGAAATTATAATTAATTTGTTTTTGTTTCCATGCTCTTCATTCATCAAGTGAGAAAAACAAATTCAATTCTTCATGATTTAAATGAATTAAAGTTTGCAAGCAAAATTCGTTGATAAAATGTTCAGACATTAGATTATCGATCACAAACTCGATTCATAAAAAGTATTTAAAAGCTTCATACATATCTATACATAATTATGATTATTTCATTGAGCAATAACTTCATAGACCAATAAATTTCAGTTCGTTCATCTGTGTCAAGTTTTGAAGTAACCTTTCCCACAATAATTTATTGATTGACATTAGAAAGGTTTGAAATGAATGAAAGCTAAACAACATAATTCTCTTACATAATTTAAACAAATCATTATCAAGAAGAAAACTTTTATTCTAAGTTGGAAAGATGTGATTTGAATTATTTACGTCATCGTGCTTTGAATTTTTATTGTCACATGCAGGAAATTGTCATTGAAAACGAGATTGTTCTCAGGTTTACTTCATCATAATTGCCTGAGACATCTAATAAATAACATAAAAACATATTAACATATCAAGACTTGTAATGATAATTACTCGATTTATTGTTTTCCATTCTTTCATTTTGTCAGAAAAATATCAACTTTAGAACAATTAAAATGTTATCATAAACTGCATTCACTATCAGGTGAAGTTGCAACTTCACTTTGTGGCACGAAGTAAACACAATTGGACGATTTTTCTATATGTCATGAATAAAAATTTTATTTTATTATTCAAACAATGTTAAATGTGTATGAACTCACCTTTCTGATGCACATGATAAATATTTTTTGCATTAGTTCGATGATACAAGAAACAAAAGGTGAGAAGAATTGATACAATCAGGAAAATGATAATTGACAGAAACAAAATGATGACTTTGATTGGTATTAATTGTGGCAGTGGTGGGAGATGAGACTTCTCAATGAAAATGCCTGTGGTTTTGTTGACTAAGAAACTTTCATTTGATGAGGTTTCATTGTCAGGGAAAAACATTTCGGGAGATTCTTTTGTTTCCATTGTCACTGCATCTTCAGTTTCATCTTCATAAGATGACATTTTGTCAGTTGTTGTGTTGAAATTGAAGTCGAAATCAATTTCTTCCGAGTCGAAATCAATTTCTTCGATGCATTCATCATAAATCCATTTCAATCCCTCTGTGCAATTTTTAATACATTCATAGGCGGAAATATTGTAGAAATTTTCGTGACAAATGCAACCATCTTCAGTACAAATCCCATTGATGCATTGTGGATTGCACATTGGAACGCAAGTACAATTTCTAGAGTCAAGGAACTTAAATCCTTCGTAACATAAACAAGTTTGAGGGGCAATGCAAATTCCACTAATGCAATCGTGACCGTCTTCAAATGCACAAATTGGCAGACACGACGTTGAATTTTCTGATAATTTGTAATCCTTTGGACACACGCATTGATCTTCCAAACATTTCCCATTGATGCACTCTTTATTGCATGTCTTCAAACACTTCCCATTGAACATCTCAAATCCTAAATCACAAACGCACACACCATCATAACTGCAGCTTCCATTTGTGCAAGAACTTACACAACTCTGGCGATCTTTTATTGTTTGCTTCTCTAAGCATTCAAAACTTTTCAAATATTTTTCAAAATTCTCATCACATTCACAAGTGTTTGGTGCAACACATTTGGAATTGAGACATTTCGGATCACAGATTGGCGTACAAATTCCATAAGAATCTTTCTCATAGCCCTCATAACATTCACAATTTTCCGGTGATATGCATTCGCCGTTCATACAATTTGTACAGATTGGTTCGCATTGAAACTCGGACACTCTCCGATAGCCTTCAAAACACTCACACACATTCGGCTCGAGACATTTCGCATTGATACACTCAAAATTGTCATCTGTGAATGAACAAATGGGTTCACAGTATGAGTCGTTGAGTTTTTTATATTGTGGCTTGCAGAGACATTTGTTGGGTGCTAAACACGCCATGTTATCGCCACATAAAGGTTCACATTTCGGTAAACACCTGTAGTGATCTACTGGATAATAACCAGAGTGGCACTGACACTTGTTGTTACCAACACAACGTGAATTTATGCAAACGTTCTGACACATGGGAATGCATTGGTCGCCGACGGTCATAAAACCGAAGCAACATTCACGAATTGTTGTGTTGACTTTATAGTAAACCGCCGGTGTGACGCTGGTGTTTAAAAATCTTCTCCTGAATAATTCGTTTTATTAATTAATTTTATAGAAAAAGATGATTTGAAACTCACATCACAGTTTTCTCACATAAACCGAAATTTTCTCCACTTGATTTCATCACAAACGCAATGAGAAGAAAACCAAATGCCAACATTACTTTCAGCAGCAACATTTCTGCTTTCTTTAACTGTCGAATATCTCGTAAGTACTGAGAGCGTCTACAGAATCTTTCACTCAATGTTTTGACATGAAAATATGTATGAATCAGAGTTGGAGTTCAAGCGATATAATAAACATGCAATTAATTATTGAGGGTTTTAGAATAAACATACATCTCTGTTGGACGAGCCGAAAAAGAGAGAACGAGAACTACACAACTTTCTTATCTCATCCGTTTTCTGTGATGAATGAACAAATTTTCAAGACTTTAAATAATGATTTTGCGTGAACTTTCTCAACTTTTGATTACATCAAAAAAATTAATGATTCATTTTATTGGAATGGGAATTAATTTGAGTCATGGCTCATGTTGTGGTGATGTAAGAAAAAAATAATTTTAATCTTTAGCGGTTGATAATTTTTTATTGTTGTTTATATTTGCAATAATTGTCTTCCTAGAAAAAGAACATTAAGAAGCTTCATTTATATTCGAACACATCGGTTGTTTCCCTTCACTGATCGATCTTTAACAAACCCAGGATTGCAGAGACAAAGATTTGAACCCGAACAGACGGCATTGATGCATGGAGGATCGCATTTTGGAATACAACGGAATGAATCGAAAATGTCCAATGTGTAACCATTTCGACATGTACATTGATTTGGTCTGATTAAATAAATTTATATTAATTAATTCACATTAAATATTTCTTCATTCTTTACCCAGAACAGACTCCGTTTAAGCAAGCTTTGTCACATGATGCTACGCATTTCGTCCCAGTTGAATCTAAAGACCACCCGTTTCCAGGGCATTGACACACTTCTGGTGCAGCGCAAATTCCATTTAAACATCCTCTGGAGAATAATTTTAATTAACATATAAACTCTGTGTGTGTGTAAACAAAGTGTACCTTGAACATCTCGGTTGGCAAATATCATTGACTTTCTCATAACCTTTGTGACATTGACAAACTTCTGGTGAGATGCAATCACCATTTAAACATCCCTTGCTGCAAACAGCATCGCAAGTTCCTGATTCCGAGATTAAGAAGCCTTGATTACATGTACATTGCTCAGGTGCTGTGCAATTTCCATTACGACATCCATTCGAACATATCGGAACGCAAAACTTCTTACTCGGTTCGAGAGTGAAACCATCTTTGCATGTACAAACATTGCCATTGCAAAAGCCATTACCACAACCAATGGGACAAGTTGGTATACAAAAACCACCCAGATTAACAACATGATCAGGATAGCAAACACAAGTTTCAGGCGCTGCACAAAATCCATTCACACATTCTTTCTTGCAGATCGGATCACATTTTCTAAAATTATGAATATTTCGCTGATAACCTTCGCAGCAAACTTGAATTCGTGATAGCGTTGGGTCAGACTTGAAAATGAGAAAACATTTGTCGTCAATAAATTTTCATGAAAGTGAAAAGATTTTAAATTTTACGACTTCAACTTTTCCTTGTTAATGTTAAACTTACGCCGTTTCCTGCAACAAACACTTCACCTTGCCTTTGTAACGAAGCAGTGCTGGAGAGAAAGTTTTAATGATGATAAGAATTTATGTGGTGACATGAATGAACTTACGGAACTTCTTTCATGCAAACTCCACTTGACATCGATGATCTGGTTGTGTTTAAGAATCTTTCAGTTGCGTCGTAGGGTTGAAAAGCGAAAGTTGAATTATCGGCGCGAATCTTGTAATGTTCTCCACCGACACTTCCATTCAAATGGTTTGAATGTGCGTCTGTGGCGTTACTCAGCTGTGGATAAATTGTATTGTAACGATTCGTTGTATTCAATCCATATTTCTCAATATTTTGCAGCTGCTGTGTCTGATCAATGGCATGTTGGTAATCATTATATTGACAATGAGCCGTTGCCACGATGCACAAAAGAATGACGATATTCAACTTCATCTTCACTATGGAACAACTTTCAACTGATTCGACGATGAATTTCGACTGTTCAGAACGACAGCGAGAATAATTGCGGAATAAAGTTGATAACGCAATTCGTGGAATCATTCAAAAGTTTGAGAATTCTTAAAAATAATTTATTGTCGCGTCTTGGAAAGAATCATGTGACGTAATTTATAAATTTAAATTGACCTTTAAACTGTTTCTTATCATTTTTCATCTCTTTCTACAAATTTATTCTCTTTTTTCTTCATTAAACTTAAAAGTACAAAAAACATTTCCACAATTTAATAAATTTGTGTTAGTCAAATGAGTGAAATTTCTTATAATTTGGTATTCACGCTTGTCTCTTCATTGCCATAGAGAGCGTCGGTCAAATCATTTTCAACGTTAATAATTTCTGGTGAAATTGTCAGTTCATCATAAATGTGTTCCATGCTCTGACGTCGTGAAGTGTTTTTCTTGGGAAATGTATTAAATTCAGGTTTTCGTATTTCTTCCGGAGAATTTTTTGTTTTCATCTTCTTTGATTGAGTATAAATATCAATGATTGATATTGGTTGTCTTGGTATGTCATAAGTATCAGGTAGACTACTTGCCCTCCCGCGATTCATCTCATCAACAATATCAACCGATTCATCAAACGTGACTGACTTTGACTTTCGTAATTTTGGGCGAACCTTCTCTTCTGTCATTCGAATCGGTGGCACTAAATAAAAACGACATGAATAAATTAATTTGTAGATTAATAAATATTAAGATTTCCTACTTGGCAAAGGTTCTTGAATAAGTTTCAATGGCTTTTGAAATTCTTGAATGTTAAATTCGGGGTCAACATTTCGTGATCGTTTCCTAACAATTTTACGGATGACGTAAATGAAGATAAGAAGAACAATTACAGCTAAGATGAAGCAATTTACTGTCACCATTGTCATCATTTCTTCATGATAATTCATTGCCTCTTGTTCGATGGAATGTTTTGGAAGTTGAAAAGCATCAGATTCATTTCCATCAACTTCATATACAATGTATTCGTCTTTATCTAAACTTCCTTGCTGATGACGACCTTCAGTTGCAAGTCTCACTTCCATGTCAATAATTTTATCGATGCTTTGTTGCACATTCGATTCATTGACACTCATTTTCAGATAATGATTAAACTGCTTTCCATATTCACCTTTATAATGTTCATAGGGATTGTGTTCAGTTGAATTTATAATCGATGCATTGAATGAGTCAGAATCGATAATTGTTTTATTTACTTCAATTGATTCTTCTTCCCTCAAACATTCTCCAGTTTGTGGATGACTGAAATTGAGTTTTTCCTCTATCAGATTAAAGAAATTTTTGGATATTTTTTTATTACCATTCGAGTTTTCCACATTTGCAATGAAAATCGCAATTTTTTCCGTATTGACCTGATGGACATTTTTTGTCACAAAGTTCACCCATAAAACCATCATGACATTCACACTTCCCTGGAGTGTCACAATATCCATTAACACATCCTTTGGCACAGAAGGGATTACACAATCTCACACCATGCGATTCAGTCTCTTGATAATCGGGACAACAGAATTCAACAGTTCGAGTTTTTGTTATGTTCTTTTCGACGTTATGGAGAGGTTTAAGTAAGATCAGATTTCATTTCAACGTGTTGTTGAGATTCCACGTTGAAATATAATTATTCTTATTTGATTAATTGAACAATCTAAATTCAATGTTTTTACCTCGTTACGAACTATTTCCTGAATATCTGGTTGAAGTTCAGAACAGCGAATTTTCTCCAAACACCAAAAGTTTTTACGAACTTGAACTGGTACGGATGTAGTTAAATTAACTATCTCTGTGTAACTGGATATAGGCAGGGAAGGTATTTAATTATAAACGGAAAAGATTGAAATTTATTGCCAGTTTACTTCTCTTCACGATAGCAAACGTGATCTCCTGTTAGTTCAAGTGTAGACACAAACAAAACGTAATAAGATATAAAAACAATCTCAAAAAGCTTAATCATCTTTAATGGTTCTTGATTTGATAATCGATAAATGCAAGCTACAGTTTTAAATTATTTAATTGAAAGCGGAGATTTTTTACACATCACACGAAGTAATTTTCTCCATTTTTATATTGCTTTAATTTTTGTATTTTATTTCACGTGTTTTATCAACAAAAATCAAACGTAAACTAAAATCATGACTCAAAAATAATAAAAATTGCATTCGTAATAGTTTTCAGATGTCCTTAACTAACGAATATGGTATCAAACACACATATACGTAGACGAAACAGCAGCAATTGAGTAAATTGAGTTAGGCTAAATATTAAGTGCATCAAACATTGTAGACAGTTTGAAGTATTAGGGCGAATAAATTTTCGTGCGTTTGTTAATCATATTTAAGAAATGTGTTTGAAATTTCACATGTTCTCAAATGGTTGTTACAGTTTTCGTTACTCAAGGAATGCCGAACATAACAAAATGAGAATAATTGTCTTTTCATATTCTTTCTGGGGGTTCAGTTTGTATTAAAAAACATGCGACTCACATCAGAAGCTGGAAAATGTTCATAATAAATTTATTTTAATATCAAAATATGTGCAAGATGTGTGCACTTGTTTTCCTTTCAATTTTATCTACACGGTATTTTTTCCATTCTATTTACGATAATCATGTTGTTTCATTGAACTTGAATTGACATGTGCGTTCACTCACTCAACATGTTCAATAAAGACGTAAGTATTCATTACAAAATCATTTGTATTATAAACATCAACACTTAGGCAGATACAATTAAAATATGTAATTAAATCTGGAGCAGAATATTCGGAAAAACTTGAAACGTGAAAATATGTTTTACATTTCACTACAAAATTTTTGTTGTGATAATTGTAATTAAAAGAAATTGAGAAAACCGGAAGATGCATCGGGAAAATTTAAAATCTGTTAATCTTCTTCATAACATTTCCCGCTCTTTTTCAAATCAAAATTCTAGCAAATTTTCTAGCAAACTGCTATACTAACAAAGCATAACAAAAAAAATATATTTTCATTAGTCGAGAGTGCAGAAATTATAATTTGAAAGTTAGTGTGACAGTAGCAAGCTAAAATGCCACGAAATCGTTCGACGGATGACTCTCGTCAACCAATTCTTCAAGATAATGACGAGAATGAAAGAAGTTACAATGACAACGAACTCGAAGATACTTCTGGATGTTGCAATCCATCAAAAACTTGGTATCGATTCATTGCACTGATTTTTATGTGCTTAGTCGGATTTGGTTCGTATTACTCGTTATTCAATAAATTATTGAATGTTGTGTATTATCAATTTTCACGTCAATCGACACTAAATTGATTGCTGATTTTGCGGAATTTATTTTGAAAAGAAAAATTAGAGTTGGGGGAGAAAAAATGATAAAAACACAAAGAAATGTCATTCGCTCCCATATGTTTTTACTGATAATAACTTTTTTAATTTGATTAAAGCGTCATACTTTTGCTATGACAATCCCGGCGCTCTTCAAGACAATTTTAAGGCTGATTTGAATCTCTCGACAACACAATTTGCAATGCTTTATTCTATTTATTCCTGGCCAAATGTTATTTTATGTTTTATTGGTGGATTTCTCATTGATCGTGTTTTTGGAATTCGTCTCGGTACCATTATCTACATGTTCATTTTAATGATTGGACAACTTATATTTGCATTTGGAGCGACAATAAATGGATTTTACATCATGTTATTGGGAAGATTTATCTTCGGTATTGGCGCTGAATCATTGGCAGTAGCACAAAATAACTACGCCGTCTCATGGTTCAAAGGAAAGGAATTAAACATGGTATTTGGCTTACAATTATCATTTGCAAGAGTTGGATCAACTGTGAATTTCCTTGTGATGGAATCTGTTTACAAATATGTCAAACAATACTACAGTGGACCATACATCATCGGCATGTCACTTTTCATCGCTGCTGGAACATGCATTATGAGCTTCATCTCTGCACTTGTTCTTGGATGGATGGATAAAAGAGCTGAAACATATCTAAGACGTGTTGAAAACACTGAAGGTGAAACTCCACATCTTTCTGATGTCAAAACATTCAAAGTTAGCTTCTGGATGGTTTCCGTCATTTGTGTCGCATATTACGTCGCAATATTTCCATTTATTGCACTTGGAAAGTAAGTCAAAGTCTTGGTCATGTCAACGGTGATGATTTAATCATCTAATCTGATTAATTGCAGAGTTTTCTTTGAGAGAAAATATGATTACACACCGGAACAGGCCAACACAGTGAACTCAGTTATTTACTCGATTGCTGCTATCGCCAGTCCACTATGCGGTTACATCGTAGACAGAACAGGGCGTAACGTTATGTGGGTTTTCATGTCAACGGTTATCACAATCGGTGCTCATGCTCTGCTTGCTTTCTCCTTCGTCAATCCCTACATCGGAACAATACTTATGGGAATTGCTTACTCAATGTTAGCAAGCAGTTTATGGCCGCTTGTTGCACTCATCATTCCAGAATATCAACTTGGAACAGCTTATGGAATCTGCCAATCAGTTCAGAATCTTGGACTTGCAGTTGTTTCAATGTTTGCTGGTGTGATTGTTGACAAAGGAGGATATTTAATGCTTGAGCTTTTCTTCATTGGTTGGTTGAGTGGTGAGTGAAACTTTCAATTCAATTTTATTCCCATTTCTTCAATTTAACATTTTTTCAGTTGCCCTTCTTGCTACTGTCATCATTTGGCTGCAAGATTTCAATAACAATGGCACTCTTAACATGACACCATCAGAACGTGAAGAACAAGCCAAAACGACACTTCCCCAACTAACTTCGTCATCAATTAACGATGAAGGGAGTGACGAACCTGATCGACAAGCACGTGAAGTGAGAAACAAGTACCTGAATAGAATTGGAGTCGGTGACACTGGGAATTCTAGCGACACTGAGCCACTTCTACAATAAAATTTATTTAAATCGAATGTCATATCAACACTACAAGGATCAATTAATCAAATATTTTTTGACGGTATTCCCAAGTAATGGAGAAATGGAAATAATGAAGTTTAATTTAATTAATTTTTCCCTACGCACGAATGGATAAAAGACAACAAAAATCTACTGGAGACAGCCAGTTGTGCGTTGGGTTTTAATATTATCAATGTTGACAGTATAAGCTTAAATATATTTAATCGATGTTTGGAAAGATTGGAGGGACATTCCTTGTTTATTACGGTAGATTCTTTCAAGGGTCATCTATTTTCATTGCAAACCCTTCAGCCTAAAGATTCTATCTTAATATATCTCATGAATGAACAGTTCACTTAAGAACGTAACAACATCAAATCCCCCTGACGAGTCTACTGTTCATTCATTTTATTAAAGAAATCAAAGAGTTATAATCTCAGCTTTCTTTTTAATTTATATAGTGTTACGAGAGACGAAGTTTAATTAAAGTAAAGATAAACATATTTTATATTAAATCTTATTGTCTGATCAAAGAGAAAAATTTATTCGAGTCATGACTTTTGTTCACCATTTTTCCCTTCATGACTTGCAAATATTTTCCCATCAATTTAAAAGTAAAAAGTCAAGTTAATTATTTGTAATATCTTTTAATTATTGTGATATCTAATAGTTTTCTATAATATGTAGCACAATTTCGTTTACAATTATAAGAAATCAAAGAGAAGTTATTTTTAATTTAGGATAAAATTTATGTTTTCTTTATATATCGACATTGATTTTATTCTTTTTTCTTTAATAAATGAATCTTTTGTAATGATAGAATATTTTCGTTTGATTAATTTACAACAATTTATTTTAATTTTTATTTCTTGCTGACAATTTCTTCTTTTTATCCCCCCGTCTTCCACCCACGTAAAACACAAATTGCAGCAGGTTCAATGGAATGGCTAACATTAAACTTTCAAAAACAATTATTCATAAAATTCATGACAAAATAAGAGTAAAACAAGGTTGAATTGTAACATGTGAAACGTCTCATTATTTACAAATCTGTTGAAGATATTATAAGAAAACAATACAGCGTTCTGATTGTATCTCGATCATCTTTAATATGACAAAAATCAAACAACCTGCCAAAGACTTTGCCGCGGCCAACTGTAAATTTATATTCGTCTACTTATAGTCATCGAGTTACAGTCAAAACATTGGAAGAAATAAAGATATAATACTAAATGTAGTGCGTCCATGCGCAATGTTTTTTAAGATTTTGCAGCAATTGCAGCTCCGGATTGTCCTGGCGCTTTTTCAGTTTCTTTCTCTAACTGCTTTCCAAGATACTCCCAGTTGTGAACCATGAGTTTTTGAACAGCAAGAAGAGCTTCATAACGAACATTGGGATCGTCATGTCCGAGAAGTTGCATCACCAATTGTTTGCCATTCAATTGTTCAATGACACTGGGAAAATGGAAAATTTGAATTAATTCAGTTTTTAGAACTATTTTAGAACTAAAAGCTCTTCTATGAAAAGTTTAGTACAAGAATCTTTAAATAAACTTACTGCTTTCCTCTTGGATAATGACG